ATTTTGTTATTTCTTTTATTACTATTTTGGTGCTGTTTGGCTTGAGTCATTGTTACTACAGGTCGGTGACCTTTGATGACTCTCACTTTTCGTGAATAAACAATCTTAGTCTTAAGGTGTTTAATAAAAATTCTTAAGCGTTCGACTTAACTCAGTCTAGACTTAAGTGTATAAAATTAACACGTAAATGTACAAAACGAAGACTTAAGTCTAGACTTAGTTAAGTCGAGCACTTAAGAATTTTTATGAAACACCCTCCTGGATCAATGCGACTTGGAGCTAAAGAAAAACAACGCATTCTGACCGAATGATTTTATTTACCCAAAATGAGTTATGGGTCTCGTTTCACGAGAAAACTTAAGTTAATTAATTATGAAATTGACTTAAGTCACAATTAAGTCACACATGATAAAAAATCGCGTTTCATAAAAAAATTTAGATCTCTGACGTAACACAAGTCAAACTTAAGTGTTTTCGTGAAACGAGCTACAGTACTAATGACAGATAAAAATTGGATAAGCGTGATTTTCAACCAACCCGCAGTGGGATACAATGCATCAGTATTTGATCCTCTTTATTGGCTATAAAGTCTGTCAAATGGTGGAACAAGTGAAAATACGGATGAATCGATGATGCGAAGAGAGGACAAGGTTGTGTAGATAAAATATACTAGAACTGAAATTTAGGCGTCGATCTCAGCATTTCCTTCAAGTCTCATCACTTATTAGTTCCGTTTTGCAGAGCTAGGCGAGTTCGAGTGCAGACTCGGGCTCAAGTCCGGACTGGAGATTTTTTCGAAAGACTTGAACTTGAGTTTTTGTGTTTAGAGGCCGATCGATTCAAATTTCTTGCATAAATCAACAGAAACATTTTCAGTTTTTCAATATCAGTATGGGATATGCAAGAGAAGTTTTCTTATGTAACTTTTTCTGTTATAATAAGTTTAATGTGTTGTACAGCATAACAGAAAAGAAATATAAATAACGACAACTGAAAGGGTTTGAAAATATTATTGGACTCGAAATGGATTCGGGACGCTTCATAAGTTGGACTTAGACTCGGTTCATCGGTCGAGAATGTTCGTCGTCAGGTTAAATTGACTTCTGATCATTGACAATTATCTAAGTCTTCTCTCTCTCTAGATTTTTAAGATCGGACTTTTATTAATTAATGTTTGAATGGGTCTATGTAAATGTCCAAATCGTAAAGTAACAAATTTATTTTGTTTTCAACATCATGTGAATGTATGTGAACAATGTTTAGCCAGTCAACATTCTCAATGTATTGTTCGATCGTATGTTCAATGGTTACAAGATAATGATTTTAATCCAAATTGTTTATTATGTAATAATTTGTTAACAGAAAATGGTGAAACTGTACGTTTAATATGCTATGATATTTTCCATTGGTCATGTTTAAACCAATATTTTCAAAAGCTACCGTTAAACACGGCACCAGACGGCTATCAATGTAGGTTGTTTAAAGTCTTCAATTTCAATATGTTTTCTATCTCAGTTCTGTTTAGACTAATTGATACTATATTTCAATGTTTTAGGTCCACAATGTAAACAATGTATATTTCCACAAGCTAATTTAGTATCGCCAATTGCCGATCAATTAAGACAAAAATTAGCAACAGTTACATGGGCGAGGTAAACACATGAGTTCTATTGATTAACCGGTGGTGATTATCATGTCACTTGCAAAATGTTTCGTTGATTCTAATAATTACCGAGTAAAACTTGAGACAGCATCAGAAATTACAAGAAAAAATTTTTATATTAACTTTTTTTTTACACTTGTTAAAAATAAATGAAATATTTCTCTACTTTAGAGCTGGTCTTGGTTTACCATTAGTTGAAGATAATCGCTCGCAACGACAATCTCCACAACAATTGACTGAAACAGAGAAAAATGGTTATGTCATTGTTAGTCAACAGCAGCAACAAAATCAATCGTCATCATCGGTATCGTTACCAGTCGAGCAACAGGGTTTATCTTACCATACGAAGGGAAAATCTTATAGTAGTGATACAGAAACAATGTTATCATCGACATTAAACCTTGTACAAGATGTTGATGATGATAAATATAAGAGACGTAGTATATTCTCGTGGTTTGCACGATATTTGCGTTCACGTCAAGTTTCTGGAACAAAACGTAAACCAATGTCTAGATTACGATGGACATGTTATTTGATAATTGTTTGTCTTTTTGTCTTTGTAACAATATTCACCATTTTACATAGTTTAACACGTAGTTCAGATGATGATAACGATCCTCAATTCGATCCTTTAAACAATCCAATGATAAGAGTTGGAAATAGATTTATACAAAAATTAAAAAATAAATCATTTGGTAGTGTGAATAATCAACAACAACAAGATGAATAACGGTTTTGTTTTGGAATCAGAGAGGATTGAGACGTGGAACACTTTTCTTTACTAGTAAGAGTACAGTTCGATAAATTGAGAATAATTATTATTAAAAGGATTCATGTATACTAGAAAACGAAGTATTACTCGAGAACCAATTAATAATAATGATTCTCCGTATTATGAATTGTGCTATTTCTTTTTTATTACTGAAAAATAGCTTTTCTCTCTCGCTGAAAAATAGTGCTAAAAAAAAAATTAAATTATGAACAAATATTTATTTAACGCTAAAGGATGGGTTTAACTTCGTTTTTGTTCCGATACGCAAAATCTCTTTTACTAGAACTACTGATATTTGGGTGTCTAATATATTTGATTATTTTTCCGTTTCATTTTCTTTTCCTTTTGTGGCTTTTTTATTCAATTGCAATATACAAATATAGTTATTTATTAAAATAAGAATATGACTTTAAGCGACTAAGGTGAAAAAAGACCTTGCAGACACACATTGCGATCAATATGCAAGAAGTTGATCAGATTTCTGAGAGAATCTAAAAATCGATGTTTTTTCGACAGAAGTAACTTTATTGTACTAGAAAAGAAAATTTCTCAAAAGAGCGATGTACATTTTTATATTGATCAAAAAACTACCATCTCTCTTTCTACAAATTCATTCTGTGTTCAGTATAATGATTTCGATTGTTAGACTACTAGAATGAAATTTATTCCACGTATATTCTGGAAGTATAAGAGTTAGATCAGATTCCTCTTATTGTGATAAAATCTTCATATACCGTTATTTTTCATTCTCTGGTAAACTATGTTCTCATTTATGGTAGCAAAAGCTTTTTCATTTCATTTTTCTTGTCAAATTATAGATGATTACTATTTAAAATAAAATGAAATGAATTTATATCGACCTACAAATTCTTCAATTTTATCGTTTGTTCGATTATGTTTTCAACGTTATTTAAGTACTGATGTAGCTATAGCTAATAAAAGACCTGAGACGTCTTTTACAAAATCTGAAAATGAAAATTATAAAGTTTCTTCACTAATTCTAAATCGTAATCCACGTACATTAGAATGGCAAAATTTACAATATCGTACAACTGGATGGCCTCTTCAATATCCACCAAAAGACTATATTCATAAAGCTTTGTTAGAACGAACAGGCAGACATTTAATATCAAGAATTGAACATACGTCAGGTGTCACATGTTTAACGGTTACAACTCGAGAATATGCTATTAGAAAACATCTAGGTAAGTGATTTTTCTTTATACGTTGATTACTACTTATTTATTTGAAAGATGCACATTCATTATATTTAGTCGATTAAGGTTTGGAATGGATAATTCGATATGATTTGTTGCAGTTTTTTGTCTTATTTAGAGATATTACAAGTTTAATATATATCTTTTTTTCAAACTTTATCGTGAATCTCTAAATTATGACAAGACGGAACTTTTTTGAGTTTCTAGAAATGTAGAGTACATGTCAGAGGTAGACAAAATGGTCTCGTCTTGAAAAATGTTACAAAATGAGGCGAAATTTGTTCTGTCTTGCTTGACACATCATTTGAAGTTAATGACATCTCAAAAATTGATTACAGAAGTACGAAAAGACTTTTATTTCTTTCTTCATTTCTTTTTTCTGTATTTTTACGGGATAAATGTTAAATAGATGGATAAAAATGGAATCACAACAATTCTCTTTACACGCGACGAGACGAAAGACCGTTTAAAGCTTTTTTACGATAAGAAAATGTTATAAGACAAGATGAGACGTTCGAAAATCCTGTTTCGTCCATCTCTGGTACATGTTTCTCTACCAAATAAGATGTTGCCGAACTCGGTGCGGTTTTGCTGGTCATTCTGTAACTCATTCAGTGATACATTCCTGGCCAAGTTCGAGCATAGGCTTAGTGGGAGACATTATGAGAACAAATAAAGAGTGTGAATAAAAAAGAGCTGTACGACTTCTCATTTTTTAAAATAAAACATTCATTCTATATTCCGGCATATTCAAAAAATTAATTTTGTTAGTAGTATTTGTATATAAAATTCTTCCTTTTTAGGCACAACTCAGGATCGTACATCTGCCTATTGGTTAGGTGTCATATTAGGACAACGCGCACTAGAATGTGGTATAACACGGATATATTTTCATCATAGTGGTAATAGACGTTATGAAAAATCAGAACGTTTAAAAAAATTTTATATAGGTTTATGTGATAGTGGTATTGAATTTGAAGATAACAAAAAACAATTTCAATTAACAAAAGATGATATTGATGGTGTGAATTATGATGAACAGTTTAAAGATGTAAGATATCAACCACCACAGATACAATTTCCTCCAGATTTATATCATGAAAAATTACATTATTTGCAGTTAGGACTTCAAAATAAGATCAAGAAAGGAGTCGAATCCTAGTAATTCATTTCTTTTTATGTAGTCATATCCACTTTAGTTTTGTACATGGTTTTCATTGTTTCATGTTATAAAACACATTTTTTTTATACATCTCTTGTATGAGAAAAGCTTTTATAATTAAAAGCTAAAAAAATAATGCGTTAGAGCCTGAGTATAATCAAATTCTAACTTACGATTAATTACAAATTCATTAAAATTAAATTAGAACGTAGAAAAAAGAATTTTTTATACTAGTCGACAATCAGTTTGGGTAAAATGCTTTTTCGGCACGTAACGGGTTTTTTTCCTGAATACTGCGCGGAGTGTCTTTTTACTGCACCGTTCATGCAGAAAAAATCTTTTTTCGTTTTTTCTGGATGATTATTTATTTCTGCATGGAGACATTTTTCTGCACGATTTGTTTAGTAAAGAGATTAAAATTTTTAAAAGACTTATTTCTGCACGGTTTTTTAGAGAAGTAAAGATAATGTCGACTGTTAATATATGACTGTATCGCCTGTGCGTTAGAGAGATATGTACAGATGTCCCTTACAATGATGTTGCGTCAACAGACATTTCGGTATCAATAGATGTTTTCAAAAGATCGTAGTATAATCTCTAAAATATTTCCCTTTACAAATAAAATAATCATGTCGAAAAAGACGTGGACATTTTGCTGACAAGTTTTTAAATGAAGATGATCTAGTAGTATTTTTAGCCCAAAACAAGATGTCAAAGTTTCGAACAGAGAACGTGAGAGATGGCATTAAAATAACGTATCGTTGTTCAACGTGTACAAAACATCCAGATTGTGATTTTCCAGTCAGAACTTTATTTAATTCACAGAATAAAATAATCGTTTCTACAATCAATTCCTATAATCATACATAAAGAGCAGTAACAACTCGAGCACCATTATCAGTTTGCGATATTATTGTCAAATATTGTTATGAAAATGATTATTTGTACCTATTATTTCTATATTTTTATGATAACATATTGAATAAATGTATGTAGAGAAATTAAAAAGGCATAAATGATGCACATGATGGAAGTGAAAGACTTCTCAGTCCTCTGAGAAACCGTTCAGAAAAATGTCTCCAGATGCAGATTACCTCTTTTTTTCCGAACAGAAATAAATAATCATGCGGAAAAAAGAAAAAAGAATTTTTCTGCACGAATCGCGCAGCAAAAAGACACTCTGGACAGTATTCCGGAAAACAACCGTGCGGAAAAAAATCCTCGTCCAATCAGTTTGGCGTAGAAAGTTGAATCAAACTTCATTAAAATGTATCTTCTGATTCAAAGATAAAATATAATAATCATCTTATTCAGCTATGGATCTGCTGATGGAATTAGGACTGTATTTGCTGAAAAAGACAATTTCTCAAACGTTAGAACTGATTTTGATCTGATTTTTCAGCTATGAGCCAGTTATTAGGAGAAAAACCTTTATATTACATAGATTTCTAAACTATAGTACAAAAATTAGATAACTTTGACGATTAGAAATATTCTAGAACAATGTTACTATAAGTAAGAAGATCTTACTGTTATTATTAAGCGCACTCCCTAGTTCTGAATATCGTGTGATTAGCTGAGTCGTTCCTGAAAATACTGATACAGATATTTAGTGTTGAATCAGTGATAAAAAAAGAGTCCATACCAACTTTTCGTGAAAAGTAATTTTTAGTTTTTCTGCTGATTGAGACTCTGATTCAGTCTTGATAAAACTGCATATCTGACCCAGGTTTTCAGACCGAGTTGATTGTCTGTCCACAAATACTAAAGCACAAAAATATGTCTCAATGAATTCTCACTCTTTACGAAAATCTGACCACAAATTGGTCAAGAATGATGTTCATGGCCGGGTCGGGAAACTTTTTCTAGGGAAATCAATAAACTTTCTAGAGTGATACATGCAGAAACGTACTTTCTAGAGACGTACGTAATTTTCCAATCAAACATTGTTCTTTTTTCTTTACTTCGAGTTTTAAGAAAATACACTGCTACTAAATATAATTCTCTACAGGGTAACAATTGATTATTGCCCTAAATATTTTTTTCCAGAAGGGGTGATTGCCGCTGATGGCCTGCTAATGATGATGTTACAAAAAATTGAAGATCATTAATACAATTCACTTTCATTCAAACTATGAAAAACTGTCATTTTCAAGACGAATAAGATTGAGTTCGATATTATTATAAAACTCTTTGTAATTGATACAGGTAAGTTATTTCGTCCAACTCCGCCGTATGAGTATTTGATTGAGATATTATATACAATATAAATTTTTTTTCCTGATAAATTATTGTGTTTTTCTATTAAAATCTTTAAATCGATAAATATCAATCAACTTTCGTTTAAATATACTCTAAGAAAAAATGTGTCTTAGGATCAAGTTTAGCCACATTAATATGTTTTTTTTCCTCTGAAAGAAGACATATTAATGTGACTACACTTGATCCTAAGTCGCAATTTTTCTTTTTAGATTGTAAGAATAATCAATCTTTACTGATTTTCTTTTTAAAATTACAAGCGTCAAATAAAATGTGAATTTTTAAACACGTGTCGTTAAACATCTTTTCTAGTTGAAAGGTATCGACTTCTCATAAAATGAATAAAATTTTCTTCGTCCGCTCTATTATATTTAGACTTGTTAGTACATGTATTTCGACACGTTGAAATCAATCTTCTACTATGTATTCTTTTTATTTTGAAAAGGTTTTTCTTTCATAGTTCTTTGTTTTAATATTCGCTATATATAAATTGTATTTATGTTGCTCGTAAATCTTCTGTAACATAATCGTCATACACTGTCTCTGTCTCAGTCCTAAAAATTATGTATGGTGTATCCGGTAGAAAAATTCATGACAATTTGTGTAATAGATTAACAAATTTAACATTATCAGCTCCAAGAATGGTTGGTCAAATGAACAGTGTTTTAGAAGATTATATTAAACTAGGAAAAATTGGTGAAGGTACGAAAAATATATCTAGTTTTTAGAGATTTGCATGATCACTTTTTCTCTATCCATGTCCATAGATCATTCTCAATTTTTTGTAATTTGTCCATGGATATATCGAGCTAATAGAGATTTCTACCAGTTTTTCATCAACAACTTCAGCAAGTGAATGTTGTTTGACTATTTTTGTTTTGAGAAGTTGTAAAAAAAAAACTATTGACTCTTTGAAATTTTATTTATCAGTGTAACTCTGAAACTCTAATAGTAGATTCTCATAGGTTGAATCAATAATAACAGAAATGAAAACATTAGTTTTTAAGAGAATCTTGTCGGGTGTAATTTGAATTAGTGTACATAACTCGACAAATTCTACCAGTAAGAAATTTTTCTCTAACTGTTTCAAATCGAGTACTGATTCTAACAGAAGAAGATTGTCTTGGTGAAGTGAATAAAATGAACTTTTGAATTTTCTTAAATAGTAACGACGCCAGAATTTCTAGAGTAAGGAAACTGAGTTCCGAAAATTCTCTCAGTGTACATTTACACGTTAGAAAAATATGCCAATAAAATCTTTTTTTCTACAATAGAAATTGAGATTATAGTTCATTGAGACACATCGTCTCCGATAATTGGTCTCTGTTTCAATTTTCTATTATTTCCATATTTTACTTCGTTTAAGTTTTTCTCATGCAGAAAAGGTTTATTGATACTTTTTATAATATCTCAAAATTGATACTAATATTGCAATTTATATTGGGAGAATATTTAAAAATACTTTTTCTCTGAGCTATGTGAAACAAGTAACGAATTGAAAGTTTGTTTTGTCCTAAAAATCAATTACTCCTATTATTTTTCTTTTAGGTACGTATGGTGAAGTATATAAAGTGCGACATATACAATCAAATGTGTATTATGCAATGAAAAAAATACGGTTGGAAAGTGAAGATAATGGTATACCTGCCAGTAAGTTTAAGTTTCCTTCTAATCCACTATGAAAAATTCAAAACTTTTGTTCTGTTTTCAGCAGCATTACGTGAAATATCAATATTAAAAGAATTACAACATCGAAGTATTATTCGGTGAGAATGATAGACTGATGTGATATACATTGATCTGCAATACCTCCGTTTGTACCTTCCTCTAGTTTGTGTGACGTTATTTTAACCGATGAACGTTTTTGTTTAATATTTGAGTACATGGCAATGGATCTAAGAAAATATATGTCCAATTTAGATTCTAAATACATGGAACGATCCTTAATTCGAGTATGTATAAAAGTGAACGCTCTTATGATTAAAAGGATGTTAACATATACGGCATGGACGATTTTAGAGTTATATGCACCAATTACTTGATGCTATCAAATATTTGCATTGTCACCGAATAATTCATCGTGATTTAAAACCACAAAATCTTTTGGTTGATGCTGAAGGTTTGATTAAAATTGCTGACTTTGGTAAGATTATTTGGAATAAAAAGAAGAGATAAATTGATGAGTTTTTTTTGTTTATTACAGGTTTGGCTCGTCCATTTTGTGTACCATTCAAAGTTTATACCCATGAAGCAAGTCTTGTCTCTTTGTTTTATTAAACGAATTCATCTATTTTAATTTTATTTAGATCGTCACATTATGGTATCGTGCACCAGAAGTACTCTTAGGAACTCAACGTTACGGTTGTTCCGGTAAATATTCGTAAAATAGAGAGAAATTCACTTATAATATCGTTTGTTTAGTTGATATTTGGTCACTCGGTTGTATATTTGTTGAAATGTTCAAACATCGTCCATTGTTTCATGGCGATTCCGAAATCGATCAATTATTTCAGATATTTCGGTAATTATAATCTGTCAACCAATCACAGCTAAGCTATCTGTTGAACATCACATTGTATTGTAGAATATTGGGTACGCCGACAGCCCTCGATTGGCCCGATGTCACCACGTTACCACAATTTAAACCAATGTTCCCAAAATGGTCAACAAATTATCAGCCATTATCAAATCATATGGACAATGATGCCGATGCGATCGATTTATTAATGGTGAGAGAGTTTCATAGAATTTGTATTCTAAATGTTCAGTTTAACATTTTTATTTTTATAAAGCCTAGACTAAGAATAATAGTCTTTAACATAACAGTTAGATTCTTCAGTTTAGATTGCGTGTATTGACAAATGTTTGTCAATCGAAGTTCGCATTCTATGAATTATTTTAGCAATCTACAGTTAGTTTTACTAGTGCATATAATTCTTTAATTTTTTTTAGAAAATGTTTGTATATGAACCGTCTGGACGTATTGTGGCTAAAAAAGCATTAGAACATCGTTATTTTTCATCTCCTGAAAATGGCTTTGATCCAACGATCTTACGTTTACCGAATAAAGTGGCAATTGCAAAATAAAAATATTTTTATTTCTTTGTTATGTACAATTTTTATGTTGTATTTTTACGTTCAGTTGAATATTTTTGTCATGTATTTTTTATTTCTTTGTGTTAGTACTTTTGAAAAGAAAATTTTCTTTTTTTTTTCGAAGTGTTCAAATAAATTATTTTTAGTTTTCCTCGCTATACTCTGTGTTATATTCATTTCTATGTATGTTTAACTGACTTCCATGTATAATACTTTTTTCTTAAAATATACCGGTTTGGTTGCTCTCCAATTGAGCGCAAGGGTGTCTTAAGCTATATTGTTCCTACCCTAGTAAAATGTACCTGAGACCAAGTGATTGGGCACTTGCAGATTTAGTACTCTGTTAAGTACTTGGAAAGTATTATTATAAGTCAGTACTTCACAAGTATTTGCTTCAGTACTTATGAAAATTCTTAAATATCTTAAGATTTGATAAGTACCTACGTTACTTTTGATAGTACTTGGTAAAGTACTTGTAAAGTGCTTCTTTCGCAAAGTGCTGTTGTAATCAATTTCTATTAAATCGGAAAATGATGTTAGCACTGAACGCAAGAAAATATGAGTCGACTGGGAGTATAGAAGCCAGGACCATGACATTCCGTATCAATGGTTTAACCAGCTTTCGAGCCACAATTTCATTATATCCTCTTTCGTCTTACGTAACAAGTACATACAGAGAAAGTGAGTTATCCTTCGCCCGTGCTAGAATAGTGCGTGTCGAAAGGGGACATCACACTGAAAGCAATTGAGAAAACTTGTTATTCATCATCCGGCGTTTTACTTTTAGGTTATATACAGCTTTACTTGTCTGTCCTCTCTTTTTCCATATCACATAGATGCTTACTTGTTGTTTTGGGTTATTTATCGTTGTAATACTATACACCACAAAGTTCTTAAAAATAGATTCACTTGTTATAGTTAGTTGAAGATTAGATAAAAGCGAACAGTTTTCTTTAATTAACGGTTTGTCTAATAAGATTACCTTTTTAAATAACTAAATACGGATGCATTCAGATAAGAGTCAAGTCATACAGCCGGTCTTAATTGCTTGATGCAAGATCTAACTATTAAGACTGGATCCACATTTTAACTAAAAATGGTAACTTTACTACTATCTATTCCAAAATACAGTGCCGGTAAGCATTTTTGAATAACCTTTGATAGGAACGAGATAGAGACCTACAATTTTCGCTATTCGATAGCCAAGACTTGAGCGGAACTTTTTGCAAGCGGAAATAACTTTTGTAAAAATTTTAAAGATCGGGTTTCCAGAGGATCTTTGGAAAAACAGTCCG